CCACAGCCGGTTGTGTTCACTTACATAGTTTTTTTGAGGTTGCTCATTGACCCAAGTCCCATTTTTCCCCAATTATTTACAGGTATCCCATGCCTATATGTAGCAACTAGATTATCCAAATCAACCTAATCACTTCCATCTCCATTCTTAAAACAGAATGTCTATCTAACACTGTCCTCAAGTCAACTCTAAGTCCAATTATTTACAGGAATTGAAACGCTAACTTTGCTCAACCACCACGGGCAATCGGATTCGAAAGGGGGAAAAGAGAATCAGCTTCCCTGCTCTAAAGATGACAAATCTGAGCTGATCTCGGGAAAATCTAGCCCTCCGATCAATCCAAATCGTTAGCAATTCTCGATACAAACAAAGCCTATCTACAAAACACCTTAATCCTCACAAGGATAAGGCCATCGGTATTGCACAAATGCAGATATATACAAACAATCACCAGCTCTTATCAAATGAAACTCGAATCTGGCTTCCTACGCCATCCAAGCCGCTCGATTATCGGAGGCAATTTGACGAATTCCGGGCGTGAGAGAATTGGGGAAAACGGGAAGTACAGGACGAGAGATCGATGCATGTCCTAACAAATGCAGATATATACAAACAATCAACCAAATCCCCAACAAAATCGTCTCACAATCGGCAAACCCTAAACTCCCCAAAAAATCCCCAATGAAAGCTTCTCTCAATTGTCTAAAAACGATGCGACAGAAGTGGAAGAGGATGATCGAAGAGAGTACAGTCGTCTTACTCGATTATGACGCGATGCGCTTGCTCGCTGCTGCGGGGAGGATTCGATGCGACTGCGAAGACAGACCAATTGACAGAGGGTTTTTTGAGCGGCGAAATTTGGGAGTGGATCTGGTTTTGGAGCGCTGGAGGGAATTAGGTCCCGCGCCCTATGTCCTCTTTCTCTCCCACTTTCATTATCTGCACATAAAATGGAAAAGAATAAAAGCACCCCTGTTTTGACTAATCAAACTTTGTCACATTACCAAAATTATGTTACTTAAAATAAAGTACGAGAACAATATTGTGACAAACTTATAATGACATACACTATTTGTCATAATAAATATGTAATATGACAAAATATTATGACATCATATAACTTCGTCACAATATGGGTCTAATATGACAAATTAGTATGACAAAATGTTTCTTTGTCACAAAAACACAACTAATATGACAAATTTTAGTTCTGTCATATTATAGGTTCTATTGTGACAAACCTAAAATGACAAATTAAAATTTCGTCAGGACATCCCAAAATTGTTGTAGTGTAAATTAGGTCAAGTCTGAAATACTTCAGGCTTGTTCGTTCCTTATTTATTGTGAAGCCTCGAGATTTTATTAGTATGTATAGAAGATGATTGGCGGCGGCGGCAGCAGTAGCAGTAGTGCCAGTGAAGGAGGAGGGAGCAGAGGATCCGACTCGGGTTATAGATCGAGGATCCCGACTATGTTGTTCTCGATGTTCGCTAATTTTGCTTGAATTTACGTCGCCGGTCGGTAACACCCTGATGATGCACACACTGTCTCTCGGTAAATCGCTCTCGCAATTTACTCCGGTGAATAATTGCATAAATTTTGGGTTTCGATTTTTCTCTCAATTGGTTGGTGGATGTTACGTTATGGTAGAATTCGGAGAATAATGTTTATTTGATTAAAGAGCTCGACCGGATTACTGGGCAGGTTAGGCATTTTTGGTTTCTTACTGCTGCTCAAATTTCCTCTGTTGCTGATAAGATACATGAATGTTTGTTAAGTGGTAGACAATGAAAGCTAATTGGATGGACACTTATAAGTTGAACACCACTGGATAACAATGCTGCAGCTGTGAAAACAATGTTCACTGTGACTTGTTCTTTCTGTTTAATCTTTTTTCCCCTGCTGCACATTCTTCTTCTGATTACTGATACATATTTTTCTTCTCTGATCCAACTCCATTTCAGCTCATCTACTGGATTTGGGGGTGTTCCATTTTGCTACAGACTTCCACCTTTACTTCAGAAGGTATGATCAAGAGTTTGCAACTCCAGAAACCTATGAAATTGTGATTCTACTTGTTGCTTCTCTAACTCAGCTGATGCTTTTTGTGTACAGGAACAAGAATAAGTCTAACAAACAAGAATTTGCAAAAGCCTACTAACTAAATGGGGGGAGTGGTTTAACAGATCTGCATTTGTTACTCTGGCCTGGATCCACTACTACAGCGTGTACTTTCTGATACAGAAACCAGTCTATTGCAAGGTCCAAGCCACTTGCCATTTTGTTGGGTGGGTGGACTCATGGCTACCCTAGTGCATTCAGAGTCCAGAAGGCTCTTGGTGGTGGTGGGATAGTCACATCTCCAAGAACTCCAAATGACTTCAGGACAATCTCACATGTCCTTGATTTACTCATTTTCTTTTAGATCTTTTGTGACTTACTCTTTTCTCAAGTAGTTCCACTCCATAGTTCATTCTTTGCTCCACTTTGAAGTTTTGTGGGCCTCTTTTGTCGGAAGCAAAAATGATTCATTATCATATGCTGTGCAAAAGTAGGCAAAGCATACAAGTTATGGTCCTTTTCTGAAGCTCATTGTCTTGTTCAAGAGTCATATGGTCCTTTTCTTTCATTTATCTGACTTAGCTTGCTGAATCAGCGGACCAGTCTTCTTCAAAGATATATTATAGAGAGTTTTCATCAGGGGACACATTTTTATGTACTACAACAGATTTTTAAAGATTGCCTCAAGCAATCAAAGGTAAGCCTTATGAACTTAAACTCTAGGAGATTAAGAAGAGTGGAATGTTACTTAACAGCAATACTTAAAGTTTGGAAACATTTTTTACTGTTATTTCTGAAATGTGGATCTTATAGGAGAGGGAGTAGTAGTAGGTTGTGGTCCTTCTGAGAATCTTCTGCTAGTTGTATGTCTATATTAATGAAATGATGGTGCATACAAGTTATGGTTCTTTTGAGAATCTGATCTTACCTCTTGTTGTGTTGCAACAACATTTGTTGAAGATAAGTTCGGCACATGTTCAGATTTGTTAGTTGTGGGAAGCTCATCTTAATCATTATTAGTCAGTGTCTTTATAGCATTCCCACGTTTTTGTTCTTGACCTCTTATACTAGCCTCCAGAATAATCCATGAAATTCCAGTAATAATCCCTATCCTGATATTTTGGTTGATTCCTTGCTTAGCCTGCGCATTTGAACAAGTGAAGCAACTTTCTTCTCTATAAAGAATTTAAGATCTCCAAATGGGATCTGTACAGGTATTATGTATTTGGCAGTTCATTTTGCAGAGTGTATTATAACTGGTAGCAGCATTACTAACCCAATTAGCAGGATTTAGAGTTTTTCTATCTCAATTTTTACTGATGCTTCTGTATTTGTGCATGAAATACAACAGCTCATTCTCTGGATTCTCCTTAGTGCGCAAGAAGCTGCAGAGATGCAGAAGCAAAAGCCGCAGAAGATGCTAGGCAAATAATGGAGTGAATCTTGAAGCAAAAACTTCTTTCGAGGATGGAAATGATGATATTGATGGGGAAGAACATGAACATAGACTATTTAGAATGTTTAATGAATGATTTTGGTTATATATTTTTTTAAGATTATAAATCATAGAATTTGTGGTGGAAAGAATTATTTGTGTTGTTCAACCATTTGTAGGTTTTTTTATATAATAAAGTTAATACTGGCCAATAAGGGACTCTCATCGAACCTATGTTATCCCTAGAATGTTTCTCTAGCATAAAAATCAATTACGTGGATTTCTTTTAATTTTAGCGGCAAGTAGCAAGGGTTTCCAACCCTTGTTACATGTAAGTTACTATTAGCGACGGGTTTTCTAGCGACCGAAAATGTTTTTTAGCGACCGATAACTAACACTGGTTTGTGTATATTTTAGCCATCTGTAGCAAGGGTTTTAACCATTGCTATATTTAGCAAAGGTTATAACCCTTGCTACGTACCCTTGCAAGGGACTTCCACCAAGGGTTGCCTAAAATCCTTGCTATATATAGCAAGGCGGCTTTGCCAAGGATCGTTAGCAACGGTTGGGAAACCCCTGCTACTGCCTGTAGCAAGGGTTAAAACCCTTGGTATAGGTTAAAAAAACCCTTGGTATAGGTTAAAAAAACCCTTGTCGTAGGCACATTTTTTTTGTAGTGAGACTCTTTAGCCAAAAAGGTCGCATGGAGGTGATCATTGGTTTCATCTGAATAGGCCTCCGGTGCAAAACTAGCAGCTCCTCATGCTAAGGCTCATTTGAAACGTACTTAGTTTTACTCGACAAGTCGAATAAATAAAAATCATGTTTACATATCTCTTCTATAAATTTTGAGATCATTCATGCATTCAATATGTACTTCAATTATGATTGCATAATGTATCTTGTTTCAACCAACCAACGAGTCCATAAAAAAAATGCTATACCATTTCTATCCGTTATTGAAAGACTATTCATGCATTGCATATGTAATTCATATATGATGGGAGAGAGTTAGGAAATAGTTCACCTCATTTTTACCATCGATATATTTAAAAAAAAGCATAATTAATTAATATGCAATAAAAGTTTGGTTGTAGGTCCTACCATTTATTCACATAAGAATGAAATAATATTATAATTGTTAAGCATTAGTTATGGAATAGATAATTAAGTAAGGTGATCCAAGGTTGCTAACTAAAAGTGTCGTGTAAAACCAACAAAAGTGACTTGCCATCCATTCATCCACACACAACTCTTAACTCTAGCTAAGCTAAAGCTAAAGCTAAGTGAAGGTAACAATAATAAACCAACCACGTTAGCCAAACAAACAATTAATAAACTAAAGTATACACAAGAAAGAAAAACAAAACGTTGCCCTACGTACCCTCATCTTCTTGTTCTCCCTCCCTCTAGTGCAGGCTACTTTTCCTCTCCCAGCTGCCCCCGGCCAATACATGCAGTAGTTATATAAACTGATAATTGATCGGTCGATCATCATATAGAAATGGAACAAGGATCTGTTGCAGCCAGCTCTTGCGATGAATTACCGGCTTCGGCAGGAACAAGGCCACTCACTAACTCTTGTTCAAAGTCTTCTTCTTCTTCTTGCAAGAGAGGCCATTGGAGACCTGCTGAAGATGAGAAACTGAGGCAGCTGGTCGAGCAGTTTGGTGCCCAGAACTGGAATTCCATCGCTGACAAGCTCCAAGGCAGATCAGGTACCCTATTCCTACCTACTCCTCTCCACCATGGCTTCCTTCCTTCCTAGCTCTAGGCTCTAGCTAGGGTTCTTAGAAATCTTAATAACTAACTAAGCCAACGAAGGAAGAAGTGACTGAATAGTACTAAAGTATGATCCGAGTTTCGATTTGGCGATTAGCTAGTTTGTCAAAAATGATAGTTGGGTATTGCTCTTGATTTTCCGAAAAAGTATAGATACAAATACGAAGAATTAGTTGGTCCAGATAAATCGGAGTTGTCGATCGAGACTTGAGAGAGACGTTAAGGCACAACAGGTAGCTTGCTTTGCTTTGCTTTGTGGAAAATAGCCAGATAGATTGATGGGGTTTGATTTAATTTGTTGCAGGGAAGAGCTGCCGATTGAGGTGGTTCAACCAACTTGACCCCAAAATCAACACAAAACCCTTCACGGAGGCAGAAGAGGAGAGGCTGCTGACCGCTCACCGCATCCACGGCAACAAGTGGTCCCTCATCGCCCGCCTCTTCCCCGGCCGCACCGATAACGCCGTCAAGAACCACTGCCACGTCCTCACCGCCCGCAGGCAAAGGGAACAACACTCCAAACTCCACCACCACCACCACTATCAGCAACCAAGGACGCCATGGTCAATCATCAGCAGCTCCAACCACAACGTTAACAATGTCTATAACCATCGTTTGAGGCAGCAGAAGCCATTGAGAGATTACTACTCCACTTATTGCTCCAATTGTCCGAGTAGTAACACTAACAATATCGCCCCTGGGAGCTTGTGGAGTTGGGCCGGGTCGTATAATAACCGGGCCTGCAGAGTGGTAATTCCCAGCCCCGCCTTTGGGCATTTGAGGGTTAGGGATGATGGTAATGAAGAGAAAGATGTTACTAATGGTGGTGGCAACAAGATGAGGAAGAAGGGAATTGGGGATGATGTTGTTGGTCATTCGAGAATTATTATTATTATCCTCGAGTAGTAGTGATGGATTTCGTAATCAGGTGATGACGACAGAGCAAGCAGAAGAAGACGACGGCGACCACGATGATGCTCCCAGCTTCATTGATTTTCTTGGTGTGGGTATACCTTCATCTTGACCTTATGAAATACATTGATCTTTTCTCGCATTAACTTTTTGTTGTTGTTTTTGTAGATTCAAACAACACTCTAATTTGTGCTTGTTTGTTGTAACTTACGTTGTACTACTCCTTCTCTTCCACACATATATATGTTTGTACAAATTGAATGCTACTGATTTAATTTAGTTGTTCAATGTGATTGTGATGGTAGTGTTGCGATGAGAATTTAATTTGGTGATGAAAAAAATTTAAACATATATAAGCAATTAATTAAGTAGTTAAGCTGTCTGCTGATATATACAGGAAGTAGCTAGTATTAGTCATACAAGGTATGGTATATATGTTACATAATTAAAGAATGACATGGACAATTACTTCACGTGGATTGGAAGGCAGTCCGTATACGTAGGTTAGAATTGATGGACAAGTTACTCACAAACCAAACTACGAAAGCAATTTTTTCTTATTCGTATTGTTTGTCATACATGACACATATAATCATATATATGGGCTTGCTTGAACAATCATTAACATTAAACTTAGGGTCATTTTAAATTATTTAATTAGTTTAAGTTTCGCTTTCTCTATTTTAGTCATTTGTTTTCAAAAATAAAGATTGAAAACTAGCTGTATAGGTTTCTTATCAGTGCAGAGGCATGCATAATAAGTAATTGAAGTGCAAAGAAAACAATTTGGCCCGCTAAAAATATAAAGAAACAATAACTCAAAAATTTCTAAACTTGAAAGCATTATAGCGAAAAATATCAGTTCAAATTAGTAGTTGTATTCCAACTTTTTAACTATTAGATTGAGATTAACTATAAAAATAAGGTTATTGTAAAATATCTTGTAACAATGACTTTTACTATGTGATTTTATATTTCATATTGTGACCATTGTTGTATGAAGTTTAACAATTTTATTTAATAAATTCTGTACCCATTTAGTCAAACTCGATAGTATTAATTGCAGTTTGTCTTTTGACTCTTTCTTTATATATTTTCCCTTAATCTCTTGATCTAAGTAGGGGTGGGTAATAGGCGGGTTGGGTGGATTTTACTTTCAAATTGACCTACCCGTTGACTAGCGGGTTGGTATAATTTTGACCCACTATCCTCTCACATTCTTCTACAGGTTGGGTTGGGTGGGTGGCGGATGGGTGCGGTTGTGTTGTGGATTAACCCGCAAAACCAATTCTCCACCTAGCCGCTAAGAAAGTTTAATAACATTTATAATAAGTTCTTTGTAAATTAGTAAGATAGTAACAATTTAAACACTTCCCACTTTGTCTCATGTGAATCCATGTAGTATTTAAATCAAAATTTTCAATACTCTACCAACCAATTGTGTAAATAATTTGAGAGAACAGACGTATTTTATGATTTTGATAAAATTAATAGTTTATAATGTGAATCCAATATCTAATGGATATTACACAACACAATAACGAATAATAGTAGTCTAAAAATATTCTTTATTCTCCATTTTTAGTAGTAGATGGCTAGTGTGTAGTGCGGTTAGGAAATGTGATGAATATTCGATAGCATAAGAAAAACCATTCATGTAAAAGTACAGTGCAGGTCATTCGGGTGACCTGCAATCCAACCACCATCCACCCACATAACTGCCGGTAGGAGATTTATCAACCCGCAATTCACCCACATGAATCACCCACTACTTGCGGTTCGGGTTATTTGCGGATGGATCGACAACAACCCGCGAATTAACCACCCACGTGCCCACCCTAATGCTAAGTATGTGGGAAATTAACATTTATTTCTTAACATTTTATTGCAACTTTAACAAGCAGCGGTTTTCATGAGATTAGCCTTTTGCTTTTCATTAAAGTGATGCTTGAAGGTGTTGTCATTATGTTCTGACTAATTGTCTTGAGTAGAGATTTGACCTAGGCATATCTAATTTATTCCAAATACATTTTCCTATATTGAGTATATTTAATATATATGTTCATATATTTTTCATCATTTATTCGGGTTTTTATTGAACTTATGATATGATCGTAGAAGAAAAGTTATCAAGATTAGCGATCGAGTGAAAGACTGAATTTTTTTTTATCAGTAAAAGTATGCAAGGATGTTTTGGTTTTTTCCCCTTGCAATCAACAGTATAATTTATAGCTGAAAAGTAAAACTGCAACCCCATTCAAATTTTCCTGCGCATAGAGTGATTTTAGGAGTCTGACGTGGCAGGGTGGTTACACGGGATTAAATTAAAAATCCCCGCCTGACAGGAGAGATAAGAAACCGTCGGTTCCCACTACTTTTTTTGGGCTGAAAACGTCTTCCGTCACTGTCAACAAAGGTTGTTCTGCCACCGCCTCTCCTCCAACCACCATATCCTACCAAACTTGCTGCTATTAAAAAAAAAATTCCCGCCTTTTCCATCTCTTTACAAGTCCAATTCACCATTTGATAGTCTCTCTGTGTTACTCCGCAATCAGTGAGAAATCTGAGGCCACGGGGATGACTTCCAGTTTCTCGGTTGAGGGAACCCCTCGACAGAATCACCTTCAGTGCGTTGTTCTCGGTAAGCAGTTACAGAGACCAACAATGCTCTGCATTTTAGTGAAAGATTCAAAGGGTTTGTGATTAACGGTTAACTTGACAATGGGTCGATGTTTGTTTCGACAGGCAATGAGAAGGAAGAAGTGAACGACAACCCGATCGAGCAGGTCCGACTTACAGTTCCGATCACCGACGACCCGACCCAGCCGGTCCTAACTTTCCGGACATGGGTCCTCGGAATCCTCGCCTGCGCAATTCTTTCCTTCGTCAACCAATTCTTCGGCTCCCGTCAGAACCAGCTCTTCGTCGGCTCGGTCTCCGTCCAAATCGTGGTGCTCCCACTCGGGAAGCTAATGGCGGCAACTCTGCCTACCAGGAAATTCAAAATTTCCCCCTTTTCGGACTACAAATTGTCGATGAATCGGGGGCCGTTCAACATGAAGGAGCACGCCCTCATCACCATCTTCGCCAGCTCGGCTCGAGGGAGTGGAGGTTGTTCCATCACTATATTTTTCATTTTGGTTTTGTGCTGCTACTTCAAGCTTTATATGGCTATTTCAGTTTTTTTTTTTTGCGAGAACGCAGTATGCCACAAAAAATTCAAATGGGGTGTTTATGAAAAACCAAAAAAACTCCATGATTTTAGGTGAACACTAATTTTACTTTACAGGTGAAAGAGTGGAGAGCCGAAGGAAGAACCAGTAAAAGGGATGGTTGTTGTGAGATGATTATGTTTCCTTAATTACACCAACCAACATGAATCAATCAATTCCATGACTATATAACATATTTATGAAACAAACCAAATTTAACCCCATAAAGTAATTGGATGTCAGATAGATTTTCAGGGCTTCATAGTTTGTGATTTGTTTCTCTCATTTTGGTATGTTTCAGAAGATTTGGGGCTTAATACAATAATGACTTTTCCCTTGAGGTTGATGATTCTATCTAACCTATAGTTTTATAATTGAAATCCCTCGACTATTAGACTCCTTAATCTAGGTTCCTCTTTGTCAGTTTGCATTTGTTAATGGGAAATTTTGACTAAATACATTCCTCTATTGAGTTGTTATGGAACATAATACAATGCCTTTTTTGTTCGTTTGTGATGAGACGTAATACTTAGAATGGTTGAATGTATGTTTATGCTGATAAACATGGTTCACCAAACTGGCAAACTCTTAATCTTATGTTACTCAGATTCATGTGTTGTCTATTGAATTGTGTCGCGTGCTTGCAGTGATACCTAATGTTTCTGCTGCCGCTATGAGAACTGTAAGGGTAAGCAACTTAGGTGGGTGAAAGTGTAGTCAGTGGAATGCTCACTAAAAAAGCTCAAAGTATGGTCCATGTAGATGTAGTGTTGTTGGTGCTATATATGCAAGCAGCGAGGGAACTAAAAGGGGATGGAGACATGCATGTGTGTAATTGTAGTTAATTTGGATAATTTGTGAATGAGGTGTCAAACCGTTCAGGGGATATATGAGTTTCAAAGTGGAATTTATGTGTTGGGTAAATGGTTTATATAATTAATAGGGTAAAAAATTCGACGTGGATTGTGAGAGTACACAAAATGCTGCATAGTTTGGAGACTAATTACACTCCACCTATATGTGATGGTGGTTAATAATGATTAGCGTAATTGTGCACGCAACCATATTTAGCCAAATAAATTCATTCGGGTTCAGTTAGTTTTCTTCCATGCTTTCATTCATTGGAATTGTTTTTCTCACCTTGGTATCATTTGAGGGGATTTGTGGATTTAGCAGAGCAAACCTTTTTCCTTCTATCTAAGCTATACTTCAAAAATAGTAATTGACAGCTCCCCAGAGCTTCTGTCTTCCTTGCTATATGGTGTTTACATTGTTCTTATTTCTAGTCTATATGTCCTGACTTCAAAGTATTCACTCTTCATGTTATCTGTCCAAACTCCAAAGGGAATCATGTACAAACCTATTAATTGAGAAAAAAAAATCCCAATCAAGTATAAAACTTTTCATCAAGGAATTGATTATGATAAGTGAGAACACTATTCATCAATAAGGTTCAAGGTATACAAATTAAACTCTCAATATATTAATTCATGTGATTGCTTTAATACTAAGAATTGAGTTTTATTTATCATGTTTTAATAATATTAATCTCGATTATAAAAAGTCAACTATTAGTTCCAAACAAAATGTATTTAACTATTTATCAAGATTAGGGGTGTCAGTTCAGTTCGGGTCGGGTTCGGTTACCCGAACTGAAACCCGAAAAAACCAAAAACTCGAAACCGAAAATCACTAAAACCGAACCCGAAACCGATAAGGACTTGCGGGTTCCGGTTACCCGAAACCCGAAAATTCCTTATCGGGTTCGGGCTCGGTTAAAGCAAAACCGAAACCCGAAAACCCGAACGCCTAAGAATACGGGTTGAGTTCTATTCATTGGAGGTTTTTAACCGGAACCCGAAAAATCGATAAGCAAAACCGAACCCGAAGCCGAAAAACC